CCCTGCACTGTGAATGTTTACATGTTATGTTCAATTAAACCATGGCAACATGTAATGTTTGTGTATTATTATTTTCAGCAGACTGTGTTTTTCTATTGTTGTGACTTAGATGACGTTCAGAGCACATTTTATGACCAATTCATGCAAAACTCCGCGTTATCCCAAGGGGTTCACATACTTTTTCTTGCAACTGTATGTTGTTCATAGTATGTTTAGGTGTGCGTCATGTATGTGTTTCACTTTGAGAGCAGGCAACTAAATTTCATTTTTGATGTGTGCCATTGTGCCCACAGTATAAAAATGACAATAAAGGTTATCTTATCTTATCTTATTTTTTCCCTTTGTGTAAAGACAGATGCAAAAAACCGAGTTAAATAGTTCTGCTTTCTCCTTGTTGCTTGTCATCTTCTTGACACTTTCTCCCACTAATGGACCAATAATTTCCTTAACGTTTTTCTTGTTTTTTACATGTTGAAAGAAGCTTTTTTTGTTATTTTTGACTTCTGTTGCAAGCCTTATTTCATTTTGAGCCTTAGCTTTCCTCACTTCATCTTTGCAGACTTGGGCTATTTGCTGATATTCTGCCTTAGTTATATGTCCCTCTTTCTACTTTTTATACTTGTCCTTTTTGTCTTTCAATTTATCAGAGAGTTCTTTATGCAGCCATGCTGGTTTCTTTTGAGAGCTGTTATTTTTCTTCTTCGTTGGTATTATGCTAGACTGGGCTTTTATAATCTCTTTTCAAAATTTCCCAAACTTCTTGAGTTGTTTTCCCCTTGAGCAGGCATGTCAAACTCGTGATGTCACGCGATATATCACAACTTTTTCCCCATTGCCGGCAATGGGGTGGGCGTGGTTTTGGCGTGACGCATCCGGCCCGTGGGCCAGCAGTTTGACATGCCTGCCCTTGAGGATTCTCATCCATGGAATTCTTCCCAAGCCCTCTCTTAGTTTATTGAAATTAGCTCTCTTAAAGTCCAAGACTCTAGTTTGACTATGTTCTATTGCTTGTGCTTGCATTATGTTGAATTCTAATATTCACTCCCCCCCAAAGTTCCTGTGGCTTCAACACCTTCATCATTTCATCTCTGTTAGTGAGAATTAAGTCCAATATGGCTGATCCCCTAGTTCCCTTCTCTACTTTTTGGGAGACAAAGTTGTCTGCTAGGTTTTCCTGTCTAGTGAGTCTCACCAACTGTTTTTCAGAGGTTCTCAGAAATTTCCTTTGTTTGAGCCATGAAATGACTATTTTGAAGATCAGACTTTGATAGTAAATACCCATAATTCTGTTCCTTAAATAAGGCAGGACCTCCCACCCTCACACCTGATTGTCACCCTATTGATTGAAACACTTGACTCTAATTTCTCCTCCAAATGAACTGATAATCCTAAAGGTTCACGTACTTCTACCACACATAGATATGTAGCTTTGAATCATTTTCCTCAATAAACAGGTATACTGTTCTTAACTCATTTAATTGGGGTTTCTTTATATAATTTTAGGACTTGTATGGAGAACAGATCATAGAAGAGAATATTTGTAGCTCAGGTTTGAACTGTGGGGTCCTTAGTGCTCTCCGACCTTGGTGGTTTTCTTGCAGACGTTTCCTTACCAAACTAGGTAACATCATCAGTGCTAGACAGAAACATCTGCAAGAAAACCACCAAGGTTGGAGAGCACCAAGGACCCCACAGAACAGATTTTAGGTCGTCTTTATGCAGAAATATTGAAAATTCAAAGGGGTTCACAAACTGTTAAGCACCAGTGCACATGAAACAAAAAGCTGCTGAGACATCTTTTCTCTATCCCAACTTCCATTTCCCATTTTTTTCTACTGCTGTTGTCCTTCACTGAAGTTCAGACTGTAAACTTCTTGGGACAGGGATCCATCCTATTATACTTCATAGCAGATGGAATTCCCAAGTTATGTAAAATTGTAAAGCTTCTGAACTATTCCTGGAAAACAATGCCCCCAGATGTTAGTGGCACTCATAGAGATGCAGATCAACTTCATTTACTGAATGATGTCTTGTTCACCAGCACAAGCAACTTTAACACCAGGCGACACTTCTCTGCAACCTCCCATTATTCATGCCCAAATGAACTTTGGAACACTTCACAACACAACAGGGATATTGTCTTTGTGGCAATGCTGCTGAAAAGTTAACAGCAGGTGCTTATCATGGAAGCATTTGGGCTGCTAAGCACTCTGCTGCTGAAGCAGCAGGCAACCTTACCTGCTACCTCGCCGCTGTGGTGGCATATTTGTGTTCCATAGCCACCTGGCTCGCTCCATTTCCTCACACCTAGCATGGAGAGTGGCAAAGGCTGCATCAGACATATTCTCTATCTGGAAAAACAATGAAAGAAGATTAGGACTGGAATAGTCACTGAAGCTTTGCTGACTTGTCCTACTGAAGCACTCCATAAAGAGGTCAGACAGCTGTCCAAGAACAGCAGTTGTTTTTTCATCACAGGCCTTCCTTATTCACTTCCGACTCTGATTATCCAGTTACCCACCTTTACATGTAAGGAACTTGAAATGCATGACTAGCCATAAAGCAAACGTTATTTTCTTTCTTGAGGAATTAATGAAGTACAGGGCAAGAAGACTCTTGCAATGTTTTGAGTCTCTTTCTTCCTTTGGAAATATAGTGTTAACTAGCTTTCTACAGTAGCTGAGCCTCACATTGGCTGGGCACGCTTGTCAGCAGCTGGAGTTTGAACAGTTGTTGAACGAACGGCCATTAAGTCAAGGACTCCTTGTATTATACAGATGAGCTTGAAATCCCACCTTTACCTGGCTGAGATAGGTTACAACCAAAAAATAAAAAATTCAGGACTGTAATCCTTTAGATTCCACCCCACAGGAGTGCTTTGCAGCATTCATGGGCATGTGTCTGCAACTACCTTCAAGCAACTTTGTGATCACAAAAAAAGACACAACTGCTTTAAGGAGTTGCAAACAGAAGCCACTTTTGTGCCCCCACATCTTTTTGGAATTTGCAAGTCTTTAAAGGAAGTGTTTCAGTGTGTATCCCCTAAGAATAACTATATCAAGTTTGAATACCAAAAGGTAACAAAATTGAGATTTTAGACTTCAATTCTCTAGCAGCAGAAGAGAATGATAAAAATTCAATTTGGTTACAACTAAACTATTAAGAGAACTCAAGGAGAAGGTATTTTATACATTTCTGGTTCAAATAAATCTCCATGCAACTACAGTAGCCTTCTCCAACCTGGCATCCTCTGCCTATGTGGATCTTTAACTCCCACGTATCTCAGTGACAGCCAGCTGAGAATTTGTATGATTTCCTGAGGAAGGTTCAATTTCCTAAGATGTGGACAAAACTGAGCTTTTGTGATAGCCCCTTTGGAAGCCTGTTTGGAGGAGGAGGAGGAGCTGGAACCAAGACCATCCGATGGGGATGGCATGTCTCCCCAGGAATGTCTGGAGAGCCCAGGGTCTGAGGACAACACAGCCCCAGGCCCATCCAGCATTAGAGGAAGCGGTCAACTGGACAGGGAGCTGCCTGCCCAAAAGCAGAGGAGGATCGACTGCTGACAGACAGTGGTGATGAAAGGCAACAGATCCCCTCTAACGAGGAACAGCTGACTTGCCCACCTGATCCACAGGCATGAGTGAAGGGAAGCACAGAGGTGGTCTGTGAGGCTGCTTAGGAGGAAGCAGTCCCACACCACCTCACAAGGAACACCTGGCTTGGGGTGATTTAGCCAGCTGTAGGGTGCATTTGTCAGGAACAAACATTTGTTTCAGCATGCATTTCCTCAGCCCTCGTAAACCCTGCTTCGTGGACTTCGGATTGTGTTTCAGCCTTGTGGATTTCAGACCCTGCTTTGTGGACTCTGAACCTTGTTTGTGGACTTTGAACCTCCTTGCCTTGTGGATCAGCTCTGGTGACTGTTGGACCTAGTTTGCGGGACTGGGTTGCACTGACTGTGGGTGGCTGCCTTTGGGGAATATTGGGGTGGAGCTTTACTGGCATCGTTGGAGAGCGTCTATTGTGGTATACAGGTAGTCCTTGACTTACAATAGTTCATTTAGTGACCATTCAAAGTTACAACGGCACTTGAAAAATGTGACTTATGATCGTTGTTCACAGTTACGATCTTTGTAGCATCCCCATAATCATGTGATCAAAATTCAGACGCTTGATAACTGGTTCATATTTATGACCGTTGCTGTGTCCCAGGGTCATGTGATCCCCTTTTGTGACAAGTAAAGTCAATGGGGAGCCAGTTTCTTTTAACAACCGGGTTATTAACTTATCAACTGCAGCAATTCATTTAACAACTGTGGCAAGGAAAGGCCGTAAATTGGGACAAAACTCAATTAACAAATGTCTCCCTTAACAACAGAAATTTTGGGCTCAATTGTGGTCATAAGTCGAGGACTACCTGTAGCTGTGCAATAAACAGACTTTATTGGTATGTGCACCTGCCAGTGTGACCCGGGTTGGAACAGCTTCTGATGGCATAGTTACATGAACTGTCAAAGAATAATGGCAAAATCCAATGCATGGACAACTTTGTCATAATCAGTCTACCATTATATAAACAACACAATCACCTTTTTCCAGGGAAAAACTGTAATTGCTTTGAGAGTGGCTATTTCAGTTGTAGTCTGAATTCAATTTTTTTCTTCCATTCAATCATGTTGGGAGACTACCTGGACAAGTCCCTGCAATTCCCTTGGCAAGGTTTTTGAGAAGTGATTTGCCATTGCCTCCTTCGTAGGGCTGAAAGTGACTGGCCAAAGATCACCCAGCTGGTTTTGGGCCCAAGATGGGACTAGAACTCGCCGTCACCTGGTTTCTAGCCTGATGCCTTAATCATTACACCAAACTGGCTCTCTGAATTCTAATTACCCTCTAAGCAATGCTGGAACTATGGTTTCCTCAACAGAGAAGACCCATTTAAATTATATGATAGCACAAAAAGGCCAACTCAGATCAGCTTCTTATAATCTGATATTGGAGCACATGACAAGCTCTTCTGTGTAAGAGGAGAGCAGAAAATCCTCCACATGAAAATGCTCTGGCTACTTTCATGCCATCTTGATTTAGAACACAACTTTCCACAGAGTCAGAGAGAAGAACAGATCACAACACAGCTCTTACAAATAATCTACTCATATGATTCCCATTTGTTGAAACATGGAGGGTCTTTGCTCTCTAATCTAATAAGTAGGAACCTCCAATGGGCAATGCTAACCTAGCCTTACAGATACCAAGTTTCCAAAAACTGGGTCTGTCTATCTTCCTCATTAGCTACTTAGATACAACTCAGTGGCAGGCTGAAAATCCTTCCAGGGATAACTGATGCAGCAATTTTTTAAAGTTTGCTTATTAACTGCAGTAGGAAAATTGCCTGTGACAGAGGCTGGGCAAGGAAAAAGAAAACAGATCTGTTCACTGCTTAGCTCAAGTAAAGAAACATTGGTCCATGGTGATCTCAACTTGTCTGGGTTTGTATAAAGCAAAACAAATGTCCCCTAACGTCACTGATCCATCAGCCCTGGAAAATATAAATATGCTGCTGAGCTCTACACCAAATAAACAAGATTTCCCTTTCCAAAGTGTGAGGCAGCCTCCCACCTTGAGATAGTTATTGAGAGGTACTTAGGTGTTGCCTAGAAACCTACTAATACCTGTAAAATAGGGTGTAGCAGAGTATGAGATTTTCATTTAAAAGCATGGTGAGATGTAACACTAATTTGACAGCTGTTTTATTCTTAGTGCATAACAAGTAACAGCTTGTTGCCTTCTCCATTGAAGGTTACCCCTCTCTCTCAACTTTGGCCTTACTAGAAAGACAGCTAACATAGCCAAACTCATCATGATGCTAATGCCACAATCCTACTTTTGCAACTTATAGTATGCCTGGCTGCATGCCTCAGCCCACATAACTCTCTTCTGGTAGTACTTTTGAAAAACACAGTCACACTTTCTCCAAGCTAAATATTACAAAATTCCAGGGTCTCTTTCTGCCCTTCCCTCCCCATTTGTCAAGCATTATTTGCTGGATGTAAAGAAACCTGGACCTTGAATGCTGTTTCAGATATTGGGGATTTAAAATTATTTTTGGCGTGCCCTTTCTGAGACAACTGGCAGGAATCTCACTTGAGACTTTTTTTGGCTATTGTATAGTGGCAAGCAGTATATCCCCAAATATCTCACCAGATTCCAAAGGAATGGTTATCACTTTCTAGTGCATTACTTTTTTTGGTGCATTCTTGACATAGCTGAAAAAGCCCCTGCTCTGTGAGCTGCACTGGTTGTCAGTGAGCTTCCAGGCACAATTCAAGGTGCTGGTTATTACCTATACAGGTATTTCTCAATTTACAATGGTAACTGGGACCAGAATTTCCATCAGTAAGCAATGTGGTCATTAGGTGAAACATTACATGACCACATCACCTCGTGATGGCAACCCTAGCACTCCCTATTACTGTTAATTGAATCCCACCTTTGTTAGGCACTCCTCAGAGGTAGCCTCAGGGCTCAAATAGAGGCCCAGAGCTTTCAGCTGCCCCGCTCCGCCCCTGGGCCTCAACTTCAACCACAGCACAGCCACAGAATGCTGCTTCAAGTCCTATGCCATGGCCAGCCACTCCAATGCTACAGCATAAAGCACCCACCAATCTGCATTCTGCAGGCCCTGCTGTGCCCAGCTGACCTTAGCCATCTTCTTGCTGCTGCTGCTAAGGTACACCTGGTCTGGCCCTAGGTGAGGCAGTTGCTGGCCATTCCAGGCCTTCTTCCCAAGGCTGTTTGTGTTGTTCTAATAGTGGTCCGTGCTCTCGTGCTATTTTAGAAAGTCTCCAGAAAGCTTCTGAGGCCTTCTGAAGGATTGCAAGAAAGGGGCATGCTAATTGGAGAACAGTGCATGTGGCCTCAAGAAATAGAACAGGAACAGCCACCAGCTGCCTCGTATATGGCCAGACTGGGCATGCGTCAGCAGTGGAAGACAGGTAATATCAGCTGAGGGTGGCAGGGCCTGTGGAGTGCAGGGGGATGATTTTGCACTGTGGCACTCGGAGAATTGAGGCAGCATTCGTTAGTGGTTAGCGCTGCTGTAACTTCAAACAGTTGCTGAAGAAATGGTCATAATTCAAGGACTACCTATAAAACCCTTAATGGTACAAGGCTGGGTTATTTGAAGGACTGTCATGGTCTCTCCCTATCTGGTAGCTTCGGGCAGAATTGGAATGCTATGGGTCCCATAAAATGCTACCTAGAGGGACCCAAAAATTTGACTTGTCATGGTACCTGCCTCTGGCATAGCATCCTACTAGAAATCCATGTGTCTCCCATTCTAGCATGGAAT